CCCTTCTTCTGGCACTCCTTGCCATTTGACCAAAAATTGCACCCCAGCTTTATTTGCCTTCTTCTGAATCCTCCTAGCCAATATGGCCTCTGGTTCCAGGGCCTCCTGTCCATCCTTCCCTTGCATCCAATGGGGTATGTGTGGAGCAGCTGGTAGTTCCCCCTTGAAAGCCTTGAGTTGGGAAACATGGAAAACTGGATGAATTTTGACATGAGACGGAAGATTAAGTTTGTAGGCTACCTTCCCCACCTTAGCCATGATTTGGAATGGCCCAAAATATCTAGGGCCTAGCTTCTCATTAGGCCTATGTTGGACACTCATCTGCCTGTAAGGTTGTAGCTTCAACCAAACCCAATCTCCAACTCCAAATTCTCTCTCACACCTGTTTTGATTGGCTAGTTGCTGCATCCTGTTCTGCGCTCTTTGCAGCTGCTGCTTAAGTTGTCTAATCATGCCCTCCCTTCTTTGGAGGGATCTATCCACTGCTTCCACTGCTGACTCACCCGGTAAGTAAGGTAGGTGTACAGGTGGGGCCTGATAATAGACAGCCTCATAAGGGGTCATTTGGATGGCAGAATGGAAGGTAGTATTGTACCACCACTCAGCTAGGGGAATCCATTTGCACCACTCCTTGGGATTATGGAAACACATGCACCTTAAGTAAGTTTCCAAGCATCTATTAACCACTTCAGTCTGCCCATCTGTTTGGGGATGGTACGCAGTGGACATCAAGAAGTCTACTCCATGGATGGTGAAAAGAGACTGCCAGAATTGACTAAGAAAAATAGCATCTCTATCACTTACAATAGTACTTGGCATGCCATGTAGTTTGAACACATTATCAAGATAACTCTGAGCCACTTCCACAGCAGTGTAGGGGTGAGAAAGCACCATGAAATGAGCATACTTGCTCATTCTATCCACCACCACAAAAATTACATCCTTACCCATAGATTTAGGTAATCCTTCTATAAAATCCATGGATACATCTTTCCATATTTCAGTAGGGATTTGGAGAGGTTGTAACTGGCCAGGGTAAGCTGAGTTGTCATACTTACAGGCTTGACAAATAAGGCACCTCCTTACAAACTATGAGACATCCTTGTTCATCCCTTTCCAGTAAAACACAGCCTTCAGTCTCCTTAAGGTGGCTTCTCTTCCGGAGTGTCCTGCTACTGGGGAGGTGTGGCCCCACTTCAACAGCTTAGCCTTGAGGACTTCGTCGGGACCTACTACTAGCTTTCCCTTTCTCCTTAACTGATTTTCCACCCATGTATAGTGATGAACTGGTTGATTCTGCTGTAGTGAGTGTATATAGGATTGTAGGGTGGGGTCACTCTGCCAACTATTCACAATCTCTTTCAACAGTGACGAGTCAATGGCAGAGAGAGCCAAGTATAGTATTTCTGCTCCAGTTTTTCTGGACAAAGCATCAGCTGCTGTATTTTCCTTTCCCTTCTTGTATTGTATTTCATATGTGTACCCCATAAGCTTTGACAACCAAAATTGTTGAAATGGGGTGGAGATCTTACTTTCAAGTAGCCATTTAAGACTCTTCTTATCCGTCTTGATAATAAATGGTTGATGCACCAAGTACTGCTCCCATTTTTGTACAGCGAAAACCACTGCCAAAAGTTCCTTTTCATAAACTGATAAGGCCTGCCATCTAGGTCCCAAAGACTTGCTAATATAGGCCAGCGGGTGGTGTTCCTGCATCAGCACAGCTCCTATTCCACCTTGTGAAGCGTCAGTCTCTATAATAAAGGGTTTGGTGAAGTTTGGTAAGGCCAGTACAGGCGCCCTACAGAGGGCCTCTTTTAGAGCTTGAAAAGCCACTGTAGCTTCTGCTGTCCATTGAAATGAGCCTTTCTTCAATAAGTTAGTAAGGGCTTTGCTGATGGAAGCAAAATTTTTAACAAACTTCCTGTAGTATCCAGCAAGTCCTAAGAAACTTCTTAATTCCTTGAGGTTGGTGGGAGTTGTCCAGTTCTGTATAGCTTCTATCTTGCAGGGATCAGTAGACACTCCTTGTCCTGATATGAAATGACCCAGGTATTCTATCTTCAATTCCCCAAACGAACATTTACTCCTTTTTGCTAATAGTTGATTTTCCCTCATTGTGTGGAACACCTCCCTTAAGTGTTTGTAGTGGAGTTCCCAAGAAGTACTATAGATAAGTATATCATCAAAGAAAACCAACACAAATTTCCTTAGCTGGTTCCTAAAGATATGGTTCATCAAACTCTGGAAGGTGGCAGGAGCGTTAGTAAGCCCAAATGGCATGACAAGAAATTCATAATGTCCATGATGGGTCCTGAAGGCTGTTTTGTGAATGTCCTGAGGTGTCACTCTTATTTGATGATACCCAAAGCTTAGGTCTATCTTGCTGAACACATAAGCTCCTGCCAATTCATCAATCAGCTCATTAACCAGTGGTATAGGAAATTTGTGTTTCACGGTTTGTTTGTTCAATCCCCTGTAGTCTACACAAAGTCTCCAACTACCATCTTTTTTCCCCACAAGAACAACTGGTGAGGCATAAGAACTCCCACTGTCTTGTATTATGCCGGTCTGCTTCATTTCTTTCACAAGCTGTTCAATCACATCCTTTTGCTTAAGAGGGTACCTGTAAGGCCTAATGTTCACAGGAGTTGCATTAGGATGTAAAGGTATGGCATGGTCAAAGACCCCCTAGAAGGTGGGAGTCCCTGAGGAACTTGAAACAAATCTTGATACTCTTCCAGTGACGAAAGAGTTTTAGCGGTAGTAAATTTTACTCTAAAAGAGATCGATTTATTCCCGTGTCGTATTCACGTGGATTGGTGTTAAAATAAATTTTCTATTAAAACCTAGTTAGGCAAAGTTTTACTCATTGATTTTGGAAGCCTTCTAAATTCGAAAAGTGTTTGTGGTTTGGAATTAAACTAAATTGGACAGAGTAATAATTGTTTGATAAAAAGGAATATGAATTGATTTCAGGTAGTAGGAATTTTTCAGATAATTTAACTAGTTGGATTATTAAATTAACTAATTAATTTAGCTAGTGAGTAATTCTGTCACAATAACTCCATTAATTTTATCCTATCTCTAGGCATTATTAATGTGCTAGAATTGATTGACTAAATTATTTTTCTCATTCATTGACAAATGGACATAATAATTTTT